ATAATTATCTATGTGACTGAGCTGAGACTTCTTACCATCAGTATTTGCTCTGGTCCCATGGCTTAACAAGACCAGAATAATGAAAAATCACATTAAAAAGCAGCAAGGAATTTTTAGCGAAGCTTCAAACTATTGAGACAAATGTCCTGACGGCCACCTTTGCTCTCAGCTGAATCAGAGCAGCTATTGCTGTGCTTTGTCTGACTCAGCATTTAAACAACTCATGTCACACTGTCATTGTAAGTCCATTGTTGTTGGAAAACACGTTTTTAAACTTGAATTTAAAAAAGAATCAACTCCACTGATGCACTCAGAAAATGGGAGACAACTACGGGGCCTACCAACTAACCCTGCAGTGTAAATTACAGAGCGGCCAGCTCTGTCCTCTCCTTCTGAAACAAAATGTTACGTTTTAAGAGAAAAACCTTACGGGTAGCATTGTTGGCGGTCTGGCTGCCTCCCGAGCTGTCCGGAGGCACGCAGGGGGCTCCCAGGTGATGCACCAGGTCCATGGATGCATGGATGTGCTCACTGCTCACTTCTGAGCAGGCTGCAAATGCACTTTAACACAAAACTCTGCTTTGGAAGGGTAAATGAAGTGAGAAAATGTAACAGGTAAAGTCTTTTCAATGACAGAGCTGTCTGACTTCAGCAGGCGGAATTTTACTCTGACTTTTATGTTCTTACGTTTATTTTTCTGAGTGAGTGTACTTGACAACACGGTAAACAGGATCAGAAAGGAGCTCTTGGAGGCTCGCAGGATGCCAGCCTGCTCCAGCTGCTCTCATTCGCTGGGCACAAAATGACTCTTCTGCATGTAGTATTTTCTAGAAATTCCTGATGTGCTGCCCCAAACCTGAGCAAAGAAATGTGGGCTTACTGGTATGATTTTTGCTAAGCTTTTTTGATCATGACTTTGCTCTTATTACATCCTTTGACCAAGGGGTCAACTTTAGAAAAGGGAGACAACCCCATTGCTGTATGCATGTGGAAATACAGATTTTGAAAGATGCTCTTTGAAAAACTTGAACTGCCCAAGTCAAGGACAGCTGCATTTTTAGTCTTTTTTCTTCTTCTTCTTTTTTTTTTTTTTAAATTCTAAAATTACTGTTTTAACCCCTGTGCTCCAGAATGCCATGGGCCAGATTTACTTGGTGGTTTATCTATGTTTCTAAATTACATGTAGGACATGATGCCATAAGCATCTAAACATTTAAACTACTTGTTTCTTTTTGCCTTGTTCTTCCCTTCTGTTTTCTGGTGCGGATGTAACACCTGCTTTGTGTATCTGCTGAATACTTTGTCACTTGGTGTCTGGCTAATCAGATCTGATGAAGGGCTTTGCCTCTCTTAGGCCAGAAGATTTGGCTCAGACTTCCAAAGCAATTGCACACATTATCCGAAGGATTTATTTTCTTTCCAACAGTTATATTCTTTATCACACTAGATGTTTCCAAATTTGACCTTTACAACAGACAGCATAAAAATGAAAGCAATACAACCTTTTTAAACTGGTTTAGATGATGTGTTTGTGTTTATTCAGGGCCTGTTTATTTATAAACAATTTTGAGATAGCTATTCATTGAATATCTTATTTTTTTGAGCTGACTGTATAATTTAAAGCATACTATGTTAAACCTGGGAGTCGTTACATTATACAAACACTGTAAAGCTGAAAGTACAAACTTGCAAACCAGGGAACAGACAGCTGGAGTAAATGTGCTGTGTGAATTGTTCAGGCACCGATTATTCTCTTTTTAGCAAAGATGATGATAAAGCTGTTTTGAGTTGTAACCAAGCCATCTATAAGTACTAATGTCTGGAAGATAAAGCAATACAAATTCCATTTAGGAGTGTGATGTCCTGAAGGGCATATGGGGGAAGGCTCACTCGATAGCCACCCTGCAGCTTTCACAGTTTGCCGCGACACTTGCTGCTGGGCACATATGAGATGCGATACAAGCCTAAATGGAGCTTCTGCTCTAACCCAAGGTAGCTGCTCTTATGAATTATATAAAGCATGGTTTTAAAAAAGCTCATGGCCACTAATGAAGAAAAAAAAATATACTCAGGAATGTGGTGGGTTTATTCCCAGAGATTTTCTTTCACATTTATAATTGAAATCTGAAACCAGGTCAGTTTTATGCTTCCTTTTTTTGCTTATGTGCAGGCGGATAGTTTTCACACATCTGCATTTTTCGGTGCTAAGTTCTATATGGATCAAATCTTAAGTAACTTAACAGCAGATTAATATTTTACTGGCTGTGGCTACACAGTCTGTTGTGTGCTGCTGAGTTTCTGTGCTCCTGGTGGTCTGAAGCCCACCACCGATCCTGGGGGCTGCCGTAGCTGAGCTAGTGCAGCTCTGCGGGGCTCTATCTCTGGGTCTGCCTCTGGGGTCACTGGAACCAGGGTGACACTTGTCAGGGCAATGACAAAAGTTGCTTGCATGTGTCTGCTGGGTGTTTTGCACCCATAGACAGCCAGGAAAAGCTTCTGCATCTGGCAAAAGAACCCTGATTAAACGAATCTGGACTTTGTTTGTTAAACTCTGTCTGTGCACCTGCGGACTCTTACTCAGTTTACTTATTACCTTTTTCACCATAATATTTACCACCATTGGTTAATATAATATTAACTGTTACATTGTTTGGAAAAAGAGGGAAATTTTTTCTTTCCAGGAAAAGTATTTTCCCCATTTTTGGCCATGTGCTATTTAGTGTTCTTCCCTGCCTAGCTGCTGCAATTTCTGTAAAAAAGTCAGGTTGTAAATAGTTCTATTTTCATGCAATGTTGAATGGAATTCAGTGTTGAATGGTGGAATTTCAGAGTTTGAAACTGCGTCTAGAGGGATCTAGGCTTGCTTTCTGTTCTTCCCTCCTTTCAACAGACTGATGTTCTGATCCTGTTACACCTTTGCATGGACTTCAAGAGACAGAATTTGACCGATGGTTTTTAAGGTGTGCGTTACAGCTGCCAAAGACTGGAAACAAGGATAATATCCTTGACCAAGGAAAGAGAACAGCATTTGAAATACTTAGTTTATTTTCAAGTTCTAGACTGCTCAGTGAGAATACAATAAAAGTCATACTTTTATTTGGTGTGAGTATTGGGTATGTGTGAAGGGGTCATCAGTAAAGCATTTTAATGCAGAACAGATCCGTGAGCCTGTGACACATTTTATATGAAGAATATGTTCCGTGGGAATGGATTATGGGTATGGTACTGGGGTGCTGCAGTGTTCGCGGAATTCAGTAGAAGCTACTTCTTTTCTTCCTTGGCTTCAAAAAGAAAATGCAGTCTCTATAGCAGCATGTAACTTCCCATTACAAAGCAAGAAGCCAGAAAGGCAGAACAGAATTTTTCCCCTGGAAAATTCTTTTTACTACTTTAACTGCTTTTTTGTGCTTGTTTAAAGAGGTTTTCCTGTCATTGGACTTGCACACACATTCATCCCGCTTTGATTTCTCCCGTCCTCCACCTTGTCAACAGGCACGTTTCTGTAGGGTGAAGATAAAGTGTGAAGAAAAATGATTGTGCCTTCTTTTCCCAATTTTTCTTACTTTCGTGTTTATACAAAGGCTCAATGAATTTTCAGTGTTCTTGCATGCCAGTTTCCTGCTTATTAGTTGTTTTCCAATAGCACCCACGGGCCGGCACTGCGTGCACGGACATCAGATTGGCAAAGGGTGTGAGAAAAGACGATGCCATCTGGGGAAGTGAAGCAAAGAAAAGCAAAGTGGCTTTCCCAGCGTCAGGCAGAATTATATCATAAAGCTGAAATTTGAGATGAAAAAATCGAGTTTTTCTTCAGTATCAGTGTAGACTGTCCTCTCTTGGTTTGCATTTGATTTTTGATACTCAGATCATTTTTACTAAACTCTGTCCTCTGCATCTTCCTCCCAGTTCCAGGCAGTTAGAGATTGAAGCATATCAGACAGTCACAAACAAGTGAAACATAAGGAATGGAGAGGACGGGGTGTTTTAGTTAAATCATTCAATTGCTCACTGAGGAACTGCTAGTGTCTAATTCCTATTCCCAGAGGCATGTTGGTATAGGTACACTTATACTGATGGGAAAGGTATCTTGTACACTTATACTTATACTGATACACTTATACACTTATACTGATGGGAAAGGTATCTTTCAGTAGCCTACTTGGATCTGATAAAGTGAAATAAGCTATACGGGGGAGAAAACCATTTTACCAGTGTTTCTACTTTTATGTTGCTGGACTGTTTCCTCCCTCTGTACTAGGCAGAGTCTACTTCTTGTACAGAAATGGTCTGACAGTAGATGTTCTGTCACTGTAATAAATCTGCTGGGGTTGTCCTGGTGTCAAAATTAAGCAAAAGTGAAGCTGAGTTAAAGCAAAACCTGTTTCGCATATTACTTCCTCAAAAAGGGACAAGAGAGCTTAGAAGTATTGGGCTCCTGTTGGCGTAGGTTTGCTGTCTTTCTCCGAGGTCGGGTGTAGGTCTGCAGCCATTTTCTCTAACCACTTGTAGGCTTTGTTTTGGCTGGGTCAATCTCCACTCTGGTAGGGTTGCCAGTGTGGTGGGGACACCAGCACCAGCACGTGCTGCCTGCAGAAGGCTGGTGGCTTGGCTGCAGGTGCCCACGTTTTCCTTCATGTAGCGTGAGCTCCAGCTGTCGGAACCCCACCTGCTCTGCCAGGGAAAAGTGCTGGAAACTCTCCAGAAAAAAACACAGCCATCTGATGACCCATCTAGAGCCAAAGTGTCAAATTTAGCGCTTGGTCGGTTATCAGTGGGACAGGCTTGTTTATAGATGTCTCTGATGTTTGCTGGTGATGAACAACAAGAAAAAAAAAAAGACTGGGAAAAGGTGCTGAGAAAATACTGTCAGACTGGAAGAGGTGCCTATTTATTCTTAGAAGTCAGCTTGCGGTATCTGTAATGTTTTTATGCTTGAATGTACATCTGAATATACAGTTGTATGATCATCTGCGTGACTTTTCTTTTTTCCTTTCTCACAGTGCATGCCAATTAAAGGCCTTGGATTTGTGCTCGGAGCCTACAAATGTATTTGCAAAGCTGGATTCTATCATCCCAACATCTTCTCAGTGAACAGCTTTCAGAGTAAGTGCCTTTGCTTGAGTGTAAAAAAAAAAAAAAAAAAGAAAAGGAAAAATGAAAACGGAGCTAGCATTAATAATGCAGTGCTCCTTTTTATCCTCATCAGGGTTATACAGTAAAATCCCTGTGGTTTGCAACTCTCGGATTATACAATCACTTAAGGGGTTCTAGCCCTTTGGTTTGTCATTCACGATACTCTTGAGAATCCTGTAAAACATACCCGCTTGAAGAATATTTGATTTGTAAATAAATTTAAAAACATGAAAAGAAGCCTTGCTATGAGGAAATAGAGATTTCTGGCGTCTGTGCTCAAGCACAAGTATTGAGGAAATTAATCTAGTATTTTTCTCTTTGGTCAGGGCAAACTAGAATGCCCTCGCCTCTGGCTTTGTGTGGGCTTTAATTGTTCTCATTTTACTTCAGTTGCAAAGGAGAGTCCAAAGGAGCATCCAAACTCTAATACTTGCTAATGAGGTAATAGAGATGGGTGAGACCTGAGAGTCTGGTTGGCTGTATGCTACGGATAACACGTAGCTTGCACTCGCCCAGGACGCAAGTTATACATTGCCCACAGTAAGGGAGACAACTCGGTTGGTACTCAGCAGGGAAAATATGTAAACTGCATGCCCAAAGTTGATGTCTGTTGATGTCATATGACCAAAGCATAACGTTGTAGTTATACTAGTGGAGCTCATGCTACAGTCACATGTGTAAAGCTGTTGCTTGAGGGTGTAACAGGGCATGCTTCTCTGCCTCCTGCTTTCGAGTGAATACCATCCCCAGCTTCTCCACACCATCCTATAACCAAAGGTTCGTGTTGTCAGCCCTCAGCTGCGGGAGCTGTTTGTATGAGATGCCCAGGGAATGGCGATGAGTAGCTTTCACCAAGCGTGGTCCAGGACTGGGTGTATTGTCTCCTGCCTTGTGTGAACACAGCCATTCCTGTTCCGCTGTAGAAATACCTCTGGTCATATTCAACACTTAACATGCACTTCTGTGATACTCACAGATACAGATACAGATTCAGATGTTTTGTACTAGTAAATCATGCAGGATTGTATGACGTGGTACTGGTAAAAGCATGTCCCCACACTACAGGGCTGCAAATAAAGTGTCCAGGTTCCTTCCTGTATTAGTTACTCTTTTTGCTTACGTAAACAGTGATGGGGATTATAGGTGAAAGGTGAGTAACTTTTAATATTAGGAAGACTTTAGAATTCCCTATTTGTTCGCGTCCCCAAGTTCCAGATATTAAGTCCTTTGACCTGTGTCATGGGTTGGCTTGTTTTTTATTGATTTGATCTGGTTTGCATATAGATTGGCCAAGATATCTTACCCCTAACTGTCGTGGTTTAGGCCAAATCGGCTACTGGGGACCTGGGGGATCCCAGATGGGACCGACAGATGCTCTCCTCTACCCCTCTTCAGAGAGAGGGGCAGAGGAGGAAAAAGAGACTTATGAGTTTAGAAGGAACTAAACTACTTTAATGAAATATTAATAATAAAATAAGAAAAAAAAATAATAATGAAATATATACAAAACCGTATCAAGCTCCCGAGATGACAATCACGACACTGGCTGGCACTGGGGCAGTCCCAGGCTGGACTCAGTGATGGACGGGGATGGGATTCCGGATCTGCATTCAGGATCGGGATCGCAGGCAGACGAACAGAGTCCTCCTCAGACGTCGGCCATTGCAAGAAGAGAGAGCTGACCTTTCAATCCCTCAGCCTTTATACTGAGCATGAGGCAGATGGGATGGAATACCCTCGTTGGTCAGTTTTGGGTCACCTGTCCTGTTCGCTCCTCCCCGCAGGTGGGACCCCACTATGCTTTTCCGCTTCCGACCCTCCAACGGGGCAAATAACAAAGTTGGTTGGCCTTGGTTGTTATAGCAATAAGTATAAGCAAGGTCCTCTCTGCATACCATGGCTGGGCATCAGCTATAAACATTGGTCTTATCACCCTGAGAGAGTGAACATTGTCTGCACAATATGCTGTTAATTTCAGTTGTTAGAGAGGCCCAGCTAAGAAGCGAAGTTACTGACCAAAATTGGTTCCGTTTTACCTCAAACCAGGACACTAACTCAGTATGTCTCTCATATATATATGCAAGAGATACATCATGTCTCCTGAATATGTATATGTAACATAAATAGCACAGTGTGTTTGTTCAACACTTTACCTGGTGAGTGTTTGTTTCCCTTCTCTTCATATTGTGGAGTGTCACAGAAGGCAGCCTCGTGATAATACTTTTTCTGTGGGCTGTGTCAATCTTTTGATACAGAGTGAGGATGATGTTTGGGTGCTCCTGCAGTGCGGTGAGTTACGGTGGAGTTGGGATTTAACTCCTTGAATGAGCGTATAAAAAAAAGTCATTCTTAGATTTGTGTCATACCAAATGCCACAGAACACATAAAAATAACGTGGCTAGAGATTGTAACAGCATTGATGATTAGGGATGAGATGCATTTTATCTCATATGAGCTGTCTAAAATGTATATGCTTGGTATGTATTAGTCATCTAGGTTTCAACTGCAGTCAGCATTGAGAGCGTGGCTCCCCTGGAGGGTAATTCTGCTGCTTTAGAAACGCAGAATTTGTCTTTAGATGGGAAAAGTAACTCTTCAGTTACTTTTTACTTTCAGTTACCTTTTTTCTCCATTTACTATAGAAGGAGGAGCCTATATAACTACCTTAGATTGGATATTTAGGTTCTAAGTAGCTAACATAAAATGAAGTTTGTCTCATGAAAGTGTTTGCATATGCTGATATTTTAGGGTGTGTAATTATATGATCTGGGGACACTTTGAGCATGTGTTACTGTGAGCTAACATAAATGTGAGTTTTGAAACAGTCAGCGATAAAAAACTGCTTTAATTCATACAGATGCAGCTCAATCTGCCAAGCTCTATAGGTGATTTCAGAAAGTGAACAGTGAGACAGATAGTGTGAGACTGGAAATGGCTGGGACGTAATGGGGGAAAAGACAGTGGTTCAAGGGAACTTAGCACTGTCACCCAGCTGCTTTCTGTAAAAAGAAAAAAGGAAAAGATGACATGGTTCAAATGGCTGTAGTATGTATCTGGAGGTTCAAAATGATGCTAATACAGGATTCCAGACACGAATCCGGCAAGCAGTTTTGACAGGAACTGTCTGACCTGAAGATGTCTTTGTGGAGATAGGTTGGTGAAGTCTGATGATAAAAGAGATGAAACTGAGTAGAAATGTTAATCATTTAGAAAATATTCCTGGTGGAAGAAAATAAAGAGGCAGGTAAGATTTGCAGGTCTCGAGATGTAAACAAGCAGCTTAAAAAAATGACAGGTTTTGTACTTCTGTGGATTGAAAAATTGGATCGAGTGTGTCATGCCTTGAAATGGGAGAATTTCTCAATGATTCTGGGATTCTGCACCACAGCAAAATATGGTTAACTACAATTGCACATTGTGCGTGAAGTGTCAGAGTTTTACATGGGGACAAGGTTCTGCTTTAGGTCCAGGTGAATGTTTTGGTTTGAGTCTGAAAGATAGCTGTATAAAGTGGCTTTGCAGGGAAGTTGGACACCGGATGGTTTGCTGGTGGGAAGGCTTAAAAGACTGCTTATCTGCCTCCTCTGCAAACTCAGCTGGGGCCCAAACGCCAGGATGCAATGCTACATAGGATTCTGGAAATGGGTTGCTTTCCTGACTTAAAGCAGCACAGTGATGCTGCGCCCATGGAAGTCGCACATGTTGCAGGTTCCTGAAGTGTGTGTGGGACAGGGGCACGGCTGAAATTTAGGCTGTTCTCTTACTGAATAGGAAACCAGGTAGGAGAGTGTTTCTCTCGCAAGGCTGAGTTTGTTCTTCAGAACTGACAGTGCCAAAATTAGTAAAACCTTTCTGTTTTTTCTGCATTAGTTAATGAGGACCATGGATACTGGTGGGGCACAGAGTTATTGCTGTATTCCAGTGTCTCTTTTGACGACAGAAATTGATTTTAGAAAAAATGTATTTCATATATGAAAGTTGCATTAACCTGTAAGTGGTTGCATACATGATTATGCACTTTCTCTTAGTGGCTCATTTCTAGGTAGCACTATTAGTGTAGGTAGAATAAACTAACTGCTGACTACATACATTTTAACATTTTTGTAACACCCTTCCCCAAAGCACTCATGTTCTCTGCCTCATGGGGAATGAGGTTTGCATTGGAAGATCCTTAGTAGAACAGCGGTGCTTTGTTCAACCTAGAAGTTAATTCTTTAGCAATGTATCATCCATATATTGCAGAGATTCTGCTCAGCTCTTGCTGTTCAGATGTGGAACCTGCCCTGTGCAAAAAGGTGCTTGCATCAGAGGTGGCTCTTTTGTCTGGGTTTACTGTCTCTAACAGTGCTGTGATCCCATAAAAGGTCCCAAGAGGGGTTTCCAGTTCAATGGGAATTCCCATTTTTACAGCTGCCCTTTGGCTTTGCTTCTTCAACAGAACTGGCACGTGCAGATCTGTGCATGTATGAAGGCTGTCACTGACTTCAGTGATCCCTTTCTGTGGTGAGGATTACGACCATGGCTGATTACCAGGTTTTGATGCTAACAGGTCCAGTTACATTCACACACACTGAGTTACTGCAGCATCGCCGATGCTACTGGTGGTGTTCCTAATTTATGCTATAACAGAACAGGAGCAGAATCAGTCTTTTGTTCTGTTCAGCACTCGGCACGTGCTGTGCTCTCTGTCTTCACCTGCTGAGTTTTGACTGGGGTCTGGGATGATTTTGTTTGGGATGGTGGCAATCCCTGCCCTGGCACTTAGCAGTGTGCCATTCTTACTTTACAGGAAGGTCTCAGCTGGTAATGTCGCAGCTGCTGAGGCGCCCCTTGTACAGCAGAGTGGGCTTAGGAGAACCAAAGCTGATGAAGAGTTACCCTCGGGAGACCATTTCAAAAACAGATGGGCCCATCAGACAGAAAAATAAGACTGGGATAAAAGAGGGAAGAACTAGGAAAAAAAAATATAGTAGAGGGGACATAACTGAAGCATTTAAGCTTTTTGTTTTATTTTTCCGGGACTCAAGCATTTTCCTTATTATACTTCATATTAGTTTGTGTCCCTATTCCTACTTTCCATCTACTCGGTTCTTTTCTCCTTCCATTTTATCCCCTTTTTTTTGTTACTGCATTCTATTCTTTTCCCCTTTTCTTTTTTCCTTGAGGACAGTACTTTTTTACATCTTCCTTATCCTCAGTTTGAACTTCTGCAGCACAGTCAGTCTTTCAGTGTTTGCTTCCATCTCATTTGTGTCAGTGCTAAAACTGCTGCTGCCTTACATGGAGCACAATTGGCTTCTTGCCCATCTGTCTAACCAGCATCTAAAATCTTTTGCCATCTTTTTGGGAGGAAAACCTGATTTTCTTCACTGGACAAGGCATGTGTAATCCCAAAGAGCTGCTGAAATAGGAGAAGGCATGGCACAGTGAAATCTCTAGCAGTGCTGTAAGAGGCAGTAACTTCATGCTTGGCTTGCACTGTCTGTGGTTTGAGTTGATGTTACAATGACTTTGGTGAGGGGACAGGGCCAGATGTAAAGGGCAGAAACGTTCAACTATGCAGTGGGCAGCAGCGCCCTGAGACATACAGTCAGGGCAAGGGTGTGGGTGGACAAACAAGCTCCCAGTCAGTGGCAAATACAATGATCAGTGCTTTCCCAAGAACTTATTTAAGAGTGTCTGAAAAATGTTCTTTCTTTTTGTCAAGGAGAAAAAAAAAAAGGGTGATTGTGAATAATTCCTTATCACATTGTGTAAATCTCAAGCAGATCCAATTTTTTGGATCTTTCTTCTATTACTATAATGAAGAATCATTTCAAAGTCAAAAGATAATCACCAGATAATCAGTCATAGCTGGCAGTGCAGGAGATGTGTATCGATGTCTTCCTTTGTATGCAGGAGACAGCATGACACCAGCCACATCTAAGCAAAAGCTTGCTGTTGTGTTATGAAGTCACATCCTTGGGGTATTTACTGCAACTTGCAACTGTTTATTGGCTGTTATCCCTGTAGTATGTGACGAGCATACGCGTGAGGAAACTTCCATGAGAAAATGCTTCATAAAATGGATTATAACGTATTTGCAACAACTTTGAGATTGAACATTTCAGAAATAAAGTAAGAATATCAAGTTTAGGACCATGCAAAATTATCAAGTCTATTCATATAATATTTGTGACTTAAGTAATCTCATAACTTTAGGTTTTAAATGGTAGTTTTTTAGTGGTTAAGTTTTTACACTGAAAATAATTTATTTAATTTACCACAATAAAAACATACTAACGAGTGGCTCGTATGTGGCTCAAAAATGTGAGGTTTTAAAGAGATTAAATAATCTTTTTGGAGATGGGCTAATTGAAGGGCAACTCTTTATGGAAATGATAAAGGAGCCGGTGTGTGGTGGAAAAGCAGGTTGACATGAGTGCAAATGTTGAGGAAACAAAGTGGAAAACTCTGACAGTAGGTAGTGCACTCTTGATTTGGATATGGAGATGGGAGGTGGGAGACTGTGACTTCGGTCTCTGACGGAAGACAGTGTGAGTCCGTTGCTCTAGCTGTAATTTAGAAAACAGAGTGTCGTGGTTTAGGCCAAATCGGCTACTGGGGACGTGGAGGACCCCAGACGGGGCCGACAGATGCTCCCCTCTACGCCTCTTCAAAGAGAGGGGCAGAGGAGGAGGAAAAAGAGACTCACGAGTTTAGAAGGAACTAAACTACTTTAATGAAATATTAATAATAAAATAAAAAATAAATAATGAAATATATACAAAACCGGATCAAGCTCCCGAGATGAGAGTCACGACACCGGCTGGCACTGGGGCAATCCCAGGCTGGAATTAGTGATGGACAGGAACGGGATTCTGGATCTGCATTCAGGATCAGGATCAAAGGCAGATGAACAGAGTCCTCCTCAGACATCGGCCATTGAAGGAAGAGAGACAGCTGACCCTTTGATCCTCAGCCTTTATACTGAGCATGAGGCAGATGGGATGGAATACCCTCGTTGGTCAGTTTTGGGTCACCTGTCCTGTCCGCTCCTCCCCGCAGGTGGGACCCCACTATGCTTTTCCACTTCCGACCCTTCAACGGGGCAAATAACGAAGTTGGTTGTCCTCAGTTGTTAAGTATAAGCAGGAGCCTCTCTGCATACCTTGGCTGGGCATCAACTATAAACATTGGTCTTATCACTCTGAGAGAGTGAACATTGTCTGCACAATATGCTGTTAATTTCAGTAGCTAGAGAGGCCCAGCTAAGAAGCGAAGTTACTGAACAAAATTGGTTCCGTTCTACCTCAAACCAGGATACAGAGATAAAATGTTAGATAAGGAGAAGATGGTTTCTGGCAAAACTCTTGGAATGATAAGGGGCTGCGGTCCATGGGAGTTTGCTCTGAAAAGAAATTCCACTCCTAGGATATATGCACGATTAGTGTTCCTTAGAGGTTCTCCACTGTCTTGGGTTGACCAAGCACAGTTATTTTCCAACACTTCCATTCCTGCCTCCCACAGTCAGTGTCAAAAAGATGCAGGATGTCTTCTTGCTGTCTGCTTATCTAAGAAATCTGGTTACCAGCATGAGTCAGCACTGCTCTGCTATATTCAGGTTTCCAGCATCTTTGTTTAGAATAAAGCTCCAAAGAGAAATCCACGATCTTCATGAGGAATACCAGCCTGTTCTCTGCTCACTGTGGGATGCGGGAGCAAAGCATCCTACAGTGGAGACGAGGAGCACAGGGCTGCTGGAACGGCATGCCAAATAGACAGATTTGGTTATCCAGCCTCTCTGTCCCTTTCCCAGGCTTTGCCTGTCAGCAGATGTGTACTTATGTGCATTCGTACATAGATTTGAGAAAGCAAGAAATAATTACCCTTGTAGATAACCTTCTGCTTCAAATGTTTCAAGCTAAAAGTCTGAAGAGAGTTTCATAAGCCAATATGCATGTGCAACATTGGTGGAATAGGCTGTCTCTTGAATTAAGACTAAACAGTGCATGATTTACTACTTTTTTCATCAAATATATTGGAGCAATTCTCTTGTCTTGTGAAAAGTGAGAGAAGTTATCACACATTTTAACACAGCATTGATTTGGCTTCATCCACATTCTCTTGTTTCTGGAAGCTCCTGAGCCTGTCTTGCTTATATTAAACATTTTCACCAAATTCAGTTTTCCTTCTTATTTAACAATATTCTTTTGTGCCCACTTTTTCTTTCACCTTTTTATTCCATTAATTGCCTGTAAGGTAAGCAGTCTTACAGGGGGTTACAGGCAAGTGTTCACGGATCAGAAAAAGCAGGAACCCCCCTATGTGCTCTGTTGGTGGGTTTGCTTTGATGGACAAGATGTTAGCTCAAGAATCATTGATTTTCCTAGACAAAATATTAACTTGCCAGTAGGTTTTCCAGATTTCCTGGTGTGCTTGTGTGAACAACGGAAAATAATACTTAGTGTAAGTGCACTGGTTCTGCTTTGGGGTCACAGTAGTGCAACAGCATGCTGAACAAATGTTAATTAAGAAGAGTTTTATCTAATTTGAAGCTAATTAATTCACTAGATAGCATCTTTATGAAATTGAGGAACAATCTGAAATAGGATCAGAGCTTGTACTGTGAACATGAAGTAGTTAATGGGTCTGCTCTTCATGTGTCTGTGTAAAATCCTTTCCTTATTCCCAATTCTTTGATGTAATTTTTTCCCCATTCAGAAGCCTCCTTCAAAGAATTTCCCGTGCAGATTTAGCCCACTTTAAATACAATGGGAAAGTATTTGGCGTTTAATAAGCTCGCTTTCCCTCATGTCTAAATTGGTCTGCATTTTCTGAATGTGACAAAGGAGGGTGAAAAGAGAAAAGCAGCCCTCACAAGCCGTTTTGTACTTAATGAGAGAGGCCAACAGGGTGAGAAAGGGATTCAGCAGAGGACTGGACTGTTCCTGTATGGATGAACTGCCCATCCTATATAACTAAAGGTGTCTCCCCTTACCCTTCTGCTTCTTTCAGGAAAGGATGCAGAAAATCGCTTTTCTGGTGGTGAATTGTCAGAGGAAGTCTACACCTGCCTACCCTGCAGGGAAGGATGTTCTTACTGTACAGATGATACTCCCTGCTATGCACAGGAGGACAAGTATTTACGGCTGGCTATCATCTCATTCCAAACGCTCTGTATGCTGCTGGACTTCATAAGCATGCTGGTAGTCTACCATTTTCGCAAGGCAAAGGTAAGCAGACGTGTTTTACTTTGATATTCCTGCTCATTGTGTGGTACAGACTCATTTATGTCAAGTGTTAAGTGTATAGCTTCTCATTTTGACAGTCAGTTTCTCAGGTAAGGAGCTCAGCTCAAGGAGAGGGTGTGATTTCCAAACAGGAATGCTTTGCTTTAGGCATGGAGGTACTTAAATTGTTTATGCAGTTTTTGGGGAAAAAAAAAAAAAAAAAAAGCTGAGCAATTTTTGTCTCCCAGTGAAATCTGCTTAAATTTATAGATGGTCAGCAAAAATCAAGGAAACCTATTACGTTCGAAGTAATTTTGGAAAATCAGGGTGATTACACAGGTACCTAAGGAGGCATGTGGATATTTATAGTCTCAGGATCTTGAAGGTCTCTGTTTTACCACTGCTGGGAATGAAGTTTTGTTCTAATATATTTGACAGACTAGCTGGAAAACAATTTTATCAAAGAGAAATCTTTCAAAATAGTTCTAGTTCTTAGAGAGTTTAAACTTGATTCTATGGTTAATTTTTTTTTTTAATCTAAAGTATGAATATATTAAGGAGTGTCTGTACATTGCTGATGCAGGCTACAGTTATGTTTTATGTACTAACCTAATGAACTTCCTGCTTTTTACCTCACTCAGAGTCTTTTAACATGTAATATATCTTGTGGAATCTCACTGTTGCCTCAGTAAATGCAGAACATTCTCTGAAACTTCCAATTTACTAACAAAAAAAGAACTGAAGCTGGCACATATTCACTACCTACATTTGGGAGACGTAGGTGTGCACACAGTGTGTTGCGCGGTTGAAATTAATAGCTTCATCCACTTTCCATAACTAGATAAGCATTTCCATTTTGGTTTTTGGAACACTTGATCTCACAGTCTTCCTAATCGTACAGTGTCTGTGTTACAAATGTGTAGCTCATTTTGAAAGACTTTAATATCCTGGCAGGAAATCACAGAACGAGCACTAACATTCTTTTTTTTTTTCCCTCTTCTGTTTCTGACAGAGTCTTTGTATTTAATGATACTGCATCAAATGATTCAAATTACCGACTTAATTGTATTTATAAAGTTTTTCATTATGAAATGTCTGTTGTAGGCATCTGTTTAGTTGCTTAACATTAACTTAGCAGAAGAACTTCATTCCAGTTTTATGAGGTTTTAGTCCGCATGGTAATATTACTTGCTTTTAATGTCATAGACAACACCATGAAAGAAGCATTCCTTGTGACTAAAAACTTTACTTTCTAGACCTACAAAGCGAACAGAGTAGATTACTTCATATGTGGCTATTGCAAATTTGGCTTGATTTTTTTTTCACACTGATATATTGATTGTTGAGGAATTTCTATATTTTCTCATTAATAGTTTGAGACCAGAGATGTGTAAAATTGCATACACACTTGCACTTTTACACTTACATATGTTCTTATACACGTATACCTTTCCTCGTTTCTAAAGAACTTTTCAGACTTTATGAAAAGGCTGGAGCTTATTTTTTTCCAGATTACCTGTTACCGTTAGACATCATGACATCTGAATGAGCGAGAACCAGACACAAACCAAAACATTCCTTATTACAGAGAGAGAAGTGATGCCTTTGAGACACTGCATTTCATTTAGTTGGACAGAGATGGATTCAATTATAATTTTGCTACCTTAGAAAAGAGTCAACTTTGCTCTAAATGTATATCTCGCAAGGAAAAGGGGAGGAAAAATGAGACCAAAATGTAGTATCGTGATTAACAATCTTTTCCTGCATGATCAATGTTTTCAAGCAATAGAAATTGATAAATAGATGTTCCATTGTTTTTCATGTCATTCAGCTGAGTTTTTTCTTGGATTCCTTTTATGTTCTTTATCTTGTTGGTACAGTATGATTTTAAAAAGAAAAAGATCTTATGTGATTACCATGAAATGAGAAGCTGTACGGAAGGGCAAACATACTGAGAACAATGAGCATTTGCATAAGAAAACTACTGGTTACGTTGGATAATGACAGAAATTTGGACTGAAGGAAGAAAACTAGTAACTGACCATATACCCTTTGGCAAGGGGGGAACGTCATGAAAATGAAAGAACAGATACCGAAATATATTCAAAATATTTACATTTTGAGCAATTCCAACTGGTAGTAAAGCAAACCTAAGTTAGGTTAGTATATCTGTCTGTGGTTAAAGTTACTGTGTTAAACTGCTCACTTCCACTGTGCCGGGCAGGTGTCAGAGAAGAGCATTTTTTTGATTCTTTCCCACCTATGGCACTACAATATTCAAGTAGTTACAAAAAGTAATTTTTAATACAGCATTTCATAACAGAAAGAACTGCGTCCTGCTACCATATCAGGAGACAATCTTTGAAGTCTTTAAAAGAGAAAAATGTGGGGGTTAAGAATAAAAAATGCTAAATTAAGGCCCTAGTGCTGAAAAGAATGAAAAGTAGGTATGTGGCATTTTGGTACAGTTGTTGATCAGTGAAATGAGCTCAGGAAAATGGGAAGGAAAATGGCTATGCCAAACACTACTTAATGCTTGTACTTTATGGGTGCTCCTGGTAGATACTGACTTCAGAAAGCTAAGGTCCTGAAAAGTGAAGGTGTGCCAACAGAAAGCACCTTGGGAAGAAACACCCCTGGCACCTTGACTGATATTGTTTGTATATTAATTCAGAGAAAGAATGATAAAGGTCTGTAAGGGCCCTTTAGATTGTGATGGGGGTGACAACCTTGGTTTCAAAAAAAATCAACATATCACAGAGCAGATGCAGATCAGAAGTATTTTAGAGAAGAGAAGAAATATCTCAGTTATTCAGATCGTAGTGGTTATAGATATTATGAGCAAGCAGTACTTATAATGGAAACTGATGTGGAAGAGTCGCTTATGAGCTTAGCTTCATCAACAGTGTGGAATATATGCTAGATCCAAGGCAGTTATTAAAAGATCAACCATTGGTAAAAGATCTACTGCTCCACTCCCAAAGAGCATGGCAATGAGAACAGAGGTGTTTTCAGCAATTACTGCTGAAGTGTTACTGACAGAATGTGATGATACGACTTTCATGTTGACATGATCTTTACTGCTGACCAAGGATGTGGTATTAATGATCTGTGGGGAAGCCTGGTAAATATCAACCAAAGTGGTTCCATGAGGGAAAGATCTTGACAAAATGAATGGTAATAAATAGGCAAAGCCTATCCAAGCCAGATGACTGGCTTCTAAAAGCCAGGCTTCTCTTTAGAGGAACCATTAGAAGTCTCTGAAGTTTTAAGTCTCTTCTTTTAGAACTTCTAAGGGTTCCTCTAAAGAGTCCTCCTCAGACTTCTGAAAGAACTCCTTTACAAACCTGCTGAATTATTTATTGTGGAGTAAGCCACTGCTTATATTTATAGCAGTAGAGGAGGAATGGAAGATAGGAAATGTGCCATCTGTGTTTATAAAGCCTTCCCGTAATGGTGACAAGAAGTAAAGGTCAGTAGGCCCAACTTACACACTTGCAAATTCATAGAAATGGTAATAAAAAAACCCCAGAACTACTGGGTCCATGGATAAGTGTGGGAAGTAGGCTTTTTTGAGAATGTGATGCCCTACAAATGTACTTATCGCTCTGTGAAGGTGGATTATGAGCGTGTGGATATAAGACTACTTTTTCCAAGGTCTGACACCAAAAGCTCTTAAAAATTACAATCTCAAGGGGCTAGGTGAGCCACAGGTCTTGTAGGTAACCAAGAGGAAAAGGCAGTGCAGGAAATATGGTATAAAATCATGTAAGACAGACAGATGTTGACGTGTGAACAAATATTCATGGTTCCTCTTACAATATCACTGGAGGGTGTTCAAGGGATCTCTCAAATGGTTAAAAAAATCAAGTTGTGTTACACACAACTTTTAGTTGCTCTGTGCCACTCACTGGCAAAGAATATCACGGATCCCAAAGTATAAATCAATTTTAACAGAGTTTAGAAAGAATCATGAAGGATATTTCCGTTATTGGCTGTTTAAACACACTGGTTTTAGTGAAACATCTGGTGCAGGAAGTCCATAATTATTGTTGTTGGAAACTGGGAGGATAGACCAGGAAGGATCACTCTCTGCTGTTCTGCTTCTTTAATAAAGCAACACAGGCCATGACCTGAGGTAGGAGACTGGAGTCTGAATCAGAAAGCCATTCTTTTGTTCTCTTGGGATAGAGTCATTAAGTTAGATTTCATGCCTCTTCTTGAAAGCATTGTAGTTACTCATATAGACTTGCATGTTGGATAGGTGGCAAAACAAAATTCAACTGATTTGTCCAAGGCACAGTACCACTGGTACATCACTGGTACCACTGACCAAAATCTTGGCATTGCCAACCTGTAAATGAAACTGCAAATTTGTGACTTCAAGCAGCAGTCAGCACTGGCAAACAGTGCAAAATGGCACTGCAGAAAGATACTGTGAGAAAGATCAGATTGATGCTGAGGAATTCATTTGAGGCTTTGTCAAACACAGGTGAAAGTGACTCAGCAGCCCCGAGATTAGCTCAGCAGCAATGTTACTAAACTGCAGGAGTCATAACTGGAGAAAATTACAGGCAGAAAATGTGGCCCTTTGCCGAGAGAACTCTAAAACGGTAAGAATAAAAAAAACCTCGGAAGAAGGCACAGAAGGAGTAGCAGAAGCTAAACCACTAGTGAAAAGCATTGTA